ATATAATCCCTGGCGTCGCATCAGTATAACAGCCACTTCGTAATAAAACATTTTATTTCTCAGTCACCTTTTTTCTCATCGTTCTTATTTTTAAAAAAAAMCCAGTAGGTTCGAGAATTTTTTATTTTATTTATATTTTTATGTGTAGATACTACCTTGAATGTGAGTATGAGCTCCAAATTGCTGGTGGAAAAACGCATTTGACCATGGAAACTCAAGCATAGAGAATAAATTAATTTATTTCGGTACGAGAGCCAAAAATCATTCTTCCAAAGGCTTCCAATTAAAAGTCTAGATGTAGCAACGTCCACAGCTCTCATTTACTTTGGATCCTGGGACATATGAAAAATTCAGCCAAATGTTTTTAAAAGACACTGATAAATTACAGAAAACAAACAGTCCAGTTGAAGTCATCACTCACATTTTAACTCAGCATGCAGAGAGAGGATAGTGTCCGCAGTGTATTTTTTTATGCGTTCAGGTGGTTCTGTTTTTCTGGGGCGAAGTGTGTTAATGTGTGAGCATATATCAGCTGTGTGTATTTTCAAGTAGTCTCAAGTGCAACCATCAAAACATGGCTACGTTGCATTTATCAAAGTAGGCAAATACAGTAAGAATTTAGGCYTGAGTGTGTCAGTTCATGAGTTACAGCAGTTATGTATTTTAACACATTAATTCTGAAGTGAGGCAAATGTTTTAAGCAGCTTTTTGGCCATTAATTCTATCATTGCCTTCATCAAGCATTTCAAATTTCTATAAATCAATTAATTTTTTTTAATCTAGCATGAAGATGGGAATAGTAAGCAGTAATGTAGTATTGTGACTTTACTTTCTAGTTGTCCTTATATAGAATTTAAACAAAAAGGAAAAGTTGCTCAGTAAAAGAAATGTAATAACGGTGTGGAAAATTTTACTTTCAAAGCTGTCGGTCTCCTGTTACTTAATGCTGTTGTTAAAAATCTAATTTTCTATGGTGTATAATTGCTAAAAAGAAAAGTAAAGTTGCTGTGATTTAGGGCTGAGCAATCAGAAGAATGCATTTTTTAATACAGCAATTTTATTAGATAAACAAAACAGAATTATCAAACTAATGTTGACTTTTTTAACGCTAAAATATCTGTGCTGACTCTTTGCCTGGATCAGAATTATATATTTTTTTAAATCTTGAGCAACGAAACAATCTGAAATGTAAGCATTTAGTCAAAAGCGGAATTCCGTAGAAGCCATATGAATAAAACTGACTGCAGTCATTTAAAAAAAAATTCCCATGAGAGTCAAAGTTGATGATCTAAAAATTACAGCAACAGAAAATACTATAAATGACCATCCTCCCAGTTTTAAACAAAATAAAGTACATAACTGAAACATATATTTTTTTATTTTGTTCCTGACTGTTGGCCTCAGACCACAAATTCGGCTGAATTTTGACCTAACACACCACTTCATACTGAGCTGCAGCGTGAACTTGGGTAATAATGAATCAAACAATATTAGATATTATTTATGGATGATAAAATATGCATACCTCTTTGAAGCGTACCCGGAGATTAATTTATTTACTTAAAAACAAGCCTAAATTTACAGTTTAAGAAAATGAACATGAAACTATTATATATTGTGTGTATATATATATATTATGTAAAATAACATCGATTCAGTATAAATTATGATAAAAGTGAAGCACAAAAATATATATTTTCTCACACG